CTCCGCTCCCCGCCTGCCTGGGCGGGGGCGAAGCGGCGACAGCGCTGGCTGCCTCTTTCTGCCGCCCCTTATCCCCCTTTGTTGTATTATCTGCGTGAAATCTTTTTAATTCTCGCAAAACGCGTGTTTCGTGCCCGCGCGCTGAGGCGAGGGACCGGGGGCTGGTGCCGCTGGGTTGGGCCGTAACCCCGTGTGTGTTACAGGGCAAACGTGACGGTCACCGACCTGGAGGAGCTGCAGGAGCTGTTGATGGTTAATATAGAGAACAACAAACATCTGGTCACAGGGTCAGTGCGAGCCAAGGTACTGAAATGGTTTGTATGATCCTTTACTGTTTCCCTTCGGCTTTAATGGGGCATCTGGTCTTGCTTTGCTAAATTGCCAAGTGCACTTGGAAACACTGGAAGCTCGGTAGAAGGACGTGATAGTTAGCTTGATGCTCGGTCCTTTTGTAGTGTGTGTTGTATTATTACTGAAGCTTGTTTTCACCTTTTTTTTTTTTTCTTCTTTTTAGGGGTGAAGATGTAACAGAATTTCAGCCTCCCCCTGATTATATATTAATGGCTGATTGCATTTACTACGAGGAGGTAAATGAGAACTTTGCAAAACTCGTGTAGAAAGCTTCCTTGGGAAGAGAGTGGGGTTAACATGAGAAGAATTCAAATAAATACTGTACTTGCGTCTTGGTCCCCATGGTTTAGAGGAATGTGTAGAATTGGATGGAAAAGGTATTTTTAACAGATTTGAGGTTATTTGGGATTCAACCAGGGACTTTTTTATGTTTAAAAAAACCTCAAACTTTGTATATTTGTGCTCCCCTCCCCCCTTTTTTTTTTACACTGGGAATGAAGTATGAAACAAAACATTGTGACTGATAGTTGTGCACTGGCAGATGCATTGGTGAGTGAAATTTAATGGTGCCTTGTCTGCACCGTTTGGGTTCTCATCACACTTCCCTTGGAAAGGTAAAAGGAGAACTCCTGCTCCAGCCAAGTGGTTGCTGTAGTCTGCCCCATCCCCTGGGCCAGAGCTCTGTAAGATGTGCACAGAGACCTAACAGAAGTTGCAAGAAAAGGGAAGTGACCTGAAGAACCCTATGTCCCAGTGCCCTTTCCATGGTCTTACCAGCCCCTTGCATTGGCTCCCTGAATGTTGGTCCTGTTTCCATACGTAGTGGTCTGGATCTGGGCCGTATTCCAAGACTGGTTGAGAAAACTGTCACTTTTGAAACATGTCAAGAAATAGTCATTCTTGTGTGCTTCGAGGAAATGTCCACTCAGCAGTGTGGGATGTTTTTGGCTTTGATGCTAGCTTAGTTTTGGTCAGTCTGTGAAAATCCTATGCAGTCGTGCCACTTTCTCCTCTGCTTTCCAGCTTGCCCCCATGTTCTTTTTGTCCTAGATAAAGTACTAAAAATAACTCCCTGAAAAGCAAAACTGGAAACTTCTCTCTTGGGTGAAGACTTTCTGTAGTTAGAGGGTATTGTACCAGTAAAATGAACGTGAAGTCTAAGTGGGAAATACTTAACCTCTTTTGGGCAGTCACTAGAGCCGTTACTGAAGACACTGAAGGACCTTACTGGCCCCGATACGTGCGTCTTGTGCTGTTACGAACAGAGGACTATGGGAAAGAATCCTGAAATTGAGAGAAAATACTTTGAGGTGAGTGTTTTTTAACATATGCCTTTTGAACGCTAGGAAAACAGCTTGGATACAGGAGGTCTTTGTATTGGATCAGCTGAACATCAACAGCAGTTGCTACATGTACAAATTCAGGTAGATTGCACAGCATAGAGTTTGTAGCAGGAGAGCACGTTTGTCTTTAGTCAGGGCAGAAAATTTGGATGGTAACTCTTGAAATTATTGTCCAGCTTATCAGTTGGATCCAGACTTTCTGGATGCTTACTGAGATTTCCTTCCCTCAAAAGGTTAACTAACCTTTCTTGCCTTACTAAGCTTAACTGTATTGATGCTTTTGATCCAGGCAGCCAGACTTGCACAGGCTGTTAAAAGCCTTGCTGGCTTGTGATACCTTCCAGATTTGAAAAAGGGCCACTGTATGTGAGGCAATACCTGTCAAAATCAAAATAGAGTAATTTTTGTAGGAGCAAGTGAATTGCTGCCTTATTTCTGCAGTGGTCGTCTTGATTTTACCAGAGGTTATTGGGAGGATTAAAAATTAGTCTGGTGAAAACATATTTTCTATTGGCATGTTCCACTGAAAGCAGAGGGAAAACTCGGGTAAAGTTTTCCAGAGTAGCTCAGGAAGTCAAGACTCTCCTAAGTGGTATAGCTGCTTTTGCAAAAATTTATCCCCTCTACTGAGAGAGCATTGATAGGTGATATAATTAAATAGTCCAGCTGTATCTTCTGTGCAGCTAAGGAAAAGGAACACAGGTAACAGCTGAATCCCCCCGAGGCTGTGGGGTGACCGTCAGTGCGGGATTTAACTCTGCACCTGTCAAGTCTGCTGAAAAGCAGCCCTTGTGCAGGAGTATTGGATTATATGAAATAATAGCACTACAAAAAAGGGGAAGGGCAAAAATTCCAGGGCGATTTGTACGCGTTAATAAAAGCACCTCTCTGATAATTAGCCGTGCCTCGAACTCTTGCGAGGACCTGACTGTGAGGAGGATTGCTATAACTGAGATCAGCTCTGATGAGGTGCCGCTCCCACAATAAACACAATAGGTGTAGGTGTTTCTGGATAATTTCTGCTTTCTCATAATTTATTTCCTTCCTTAGCTTGCCAGGGTTTAGCCAAGTTAATCTTCTGAGCACATTGCAGAGTCAATGCTTTTTTTTTCCTCTTCCCTCCAGTTGAGAGGGTTGGCAGACAGAGGCAGGTGCTGTGGTTTGGCTTAGCGCTTTGGAGATTGGAGGAAGCAAAATGTTTTGTCAACAGCTTTTAGATTTTTCTTAAATGTCGCAAGATGTCTGTAGCTTTGAATTGGCACTGGAGTAGTTAAAAATGAGGAAGGATTCCCCCCGCCCCGTGCTGCAACAGGGGGAAAATGTCTTGCACATTTGTAGAGGCCTTTAGTGGAATGGTCTGAGCATGGTGGTTCCAGCGTCCTAAGGCTTCTTGCTTTCGTGCAGTATATTGCGGGACCTTTTTAACTGAACGTGTCTCAATGCATGCTTAGTTCAGAAGGGCAGTCAGCGTCATTCGAATTGTTTTCTGTGTTGTCTGATAACCAGCTGCTTCAGATGGACTTCGAGCTGGAAAAAATTCCCCTGGATAAGCATGATGAGGAGTATCGCAGTGAAGACATTCATATCATGAATATCCGCAGGAAACAAACGGTAGGTTAATTCAACTGGCGCAGCGAACGCTGCCAGGAATTCACAGAGCTGCTGTTTACTTGGCATAGTGTGAACGTTCCAGGGGTGAAGCTCTAAACTGACTGTGAAATACCATTAGGGACCCTGTGAAGCTATGGACCAGAACTGTGCTTGTACAAAGGAGCTGCTTTGTCCTGAAACCCAGCGCTCTGCCAGGTGCCAGCCTTTGTCTTCAGCAGGACCATCCTTGAGCTGCATGCTGACTTTATCTTCTGCTTCCGCACTCTGTGGTGCAGTGGGATCTCAAAACCGGAGTTTTAAGGCACCGAAGTAATAAAAATAATATGCCTACTGCTGCTCTGAGTACTGTGTGCTCTGCTGTACAGCCCTCTCCCCAAAACCAGTCTCTAGAGGTGGCGCTTAGTGGCTGTTGGGGTTGATTAGATCATTTTTTGGTTAATTGATGGGGCAGACAGTTATGCATGAAAAAAATCTTTTGCATATTGTACTGACACAACATGTGGGTCCAGTGCTTAAACAAAAACATATCACTTCAAAATCCGTACATTTTTTAAAATCTCTTCACAGAATTTTCCATCGTGAGATCTTTGACCACATTATCTGTCCTCTGGCAGCTGGTAGAGCTCTGGAGGAGAGGGAGAGGGTATAGAATAACACCACAGAGGGACTGTCTCCAGTGTGGTTTGTGACTCATCTGCAGAACGGCTTCTCGGCGGTGGACTTGGCATGAGGCGCCAGAAGAAGTGGGCTCATTAGACTAGATCCACTGATAGCACCTTCCAAGCGGACAGATGTGAGCTGTTGGCATCTGCAGGCCAAGGCAGAGGAAGGCAGAAAACGGCAACAGAGCTTCACCCAGACCAGTGCTGGGTGCATGTTCTGGTACCTCTGCTGAGCAGCCGCTGGTCGGAGCAGCAGGCGGCTTGCCGGGTGCTCACAGAGCAGATCCGAAGACGCTGCACCGAAGGCTGTGTGAGGAGAAAACTGCGAGCGGGGTCAATCGTGCAGCCCAGGATAGCCAGTCAATAAAACTTTGGCACTTGAGATGGGTCCTGGATGGTGGGGTGTGGTTTCTTCAGCCTGCGGTTTGCGTGTCCCTCCAGTGTTGCAGAGGTCCCGGGAATCTCATTCCGGGAGTGGGGGCTGTCATGGTAGGTACTTCACAGATAAAACACGCCGATGGTCCCTGTGCCTGCATGAAATTGTTCTTCCTTTTAATTGCACCTGCGCTTTTCTGGTGTAAGGATCTGCAGCATTGAAGTTTGACACCTTCAGACAACTCTGGTGAGCAGGTTCGTTGTTGTTGTCGGTATTCCTCGCTGAGCTGCCTCTTGTGCAGTGATGGCTTTGAGATTTAATTTCGAAGGAAATCGCTTCTGCTCTGTAGCGGAAGCGGCCGTGGCTGCCTGCGTCATCCTGCAGTCCCGAGTGCGTGCTGTGAAAGTAGGTCTGCTGCTACAGGGGTGCAGCTTGACGTGGATTATAATGGCCTGTTACAATTCCTGACACTGCACACAGCACGAGTGGTCCCTACTTCAGAAACCTGAATATTTAAGCTAAATCTCCTGAATTTCTGAAAACCTTAGCTGTTGGTTTTGGGGGAGCCCTGTTCGCAGTCACGCGGGTGCTTTCGGGGACCTGCCCTGAGCTCGAGCTCCCTTTATCTCCAGTAAGAGCATTCCTTGCAAACTTCACGTTCCATAAAACGCTGCCCTGCCTCGCAAAGCACAACAGCCATGATTAGTGAATGCACAGCAAAGCGAGAATGTAATTTGTCGTAACCGCACACGTTACTTGGTAACTTGTCATGAAAAGAACTCCTTAATTAACCAGTGGCCTGCAGGAAGATATTTACTGGTGTGTTTATGCCAATGTGACTTCCCTGGTAGAAACTTGTTTGGAGCAGTTGTCCGAAGGTGTGCTGTAAGGATAGTGCAAGAGCTGTGCTGTTTTCTGATAGCATCTCCCTGCAGATGCAGCCTCTTCGCTGCCCGCAGACCCCCAGGGTGGGGGGAGCAGCGTTTCGCAGGGGTTTGGTGCCAACAGAATAATTATGTTTTATCTCTGGGACATGGGATTTCAGCACTTCCTTTTATATACGGGCTCGGATCTCTCGTTCAGAAGCAAAAAGGGAGGAAGTCGTGCTTTTCTCTTCCCCGCACACAGCCGCC